CTAGAAACCCTTATCAATGGAGAAGGCAAGAACTCAAATCTGCCTAACAACCTTGCCCTTGTTTATTGTGCTTTTCCTGGTTACCTCCCTGAACTGGTTCCCCACCCTGAACATCTTTTGTCCTTAGCTGAAGGTGGCATTTAAGGTGATGGCTTTGGACATTTTGGGGAGTTACCCAGTTTACCTGGGGTCTCTCCTGTGTACAGGAGGAGGTATACATGGTATTAAACTTTTGTTTTTCAACTGTTCATCTATCTTTTAATACAGAGATGTCTTAGCCAAGGACTTAGAAGGGTAGAAGAAAATAGTATTTTTCCTCCCCTTCCAGTGTTAATGTGTATTTATTCATTCACCTGCCTCTAGCTGCTCCTTGCTAAAGGTTAAGTGGTTGTGAAACCTCATGTGCTGTAGAATCCAAGCAGCTGTTTACACTCTTGGACAAGTAGTGGTACCTTGTAGCTGTCTCTGATGAGTTGCAGAGGCAACGGAGGGTGGGCTGTCTTCCACCATCTGGAGGTTTTAATATGCTCCATCAATCTCATGCCAACCCGGCTTGCCAGAGCCTGGGTCGCGGTGCTCTGAGACATTTCAGGACGGTGCTCCAGGGAGCCATGCTCCGCGGCCGCCTGGGCCCCTCCTCCTGCAGGTGCGCTTGCCTTTTCAGTTCGGTGCTGTTTTTCTTACCCTCTGTGGGCACTCACAGCAGAGTTATTATCACTTGTTTGTTACTGCATGTTGCTGATTCATACTCAGAGGAAAAAGAAATTTTGTCTCCAAGACTTTTCCCTGTCACTTAAGACATGACAGATTTTGGCATCCATTCTTCTCTGTAGCTTTGAGGCCGCAATATCGATTCATTATAAATGAAGATGCAACTGTTATTTTACTTCTATTTGTATTTATAACCACACCAAAGCTATCCTGCTAGTACCTTTGTGTCTCTCAAATCCCAAACCATATTCTAAGAAATGCTCAATATTTCATGCTTGAATTGGCACTAAAGTACATACAATGTTTTAAATAAAGATATTTTCACTCGTATTTTATTATTGACACTCTCTGAATTCATCTATATTAGATTATGCTAGAGCTGAGTCCCTTTGAAGGCTTTCCCCTCCCCTTGCTGTACAGACTAATTTTTTCTTTAAGTGAGGAGCATGCAAGTATTGGGTGCTTTGCTTACTCAGAAGGAAGCCGAGTGGAAGACTGAAGGCTGAAGGCTGAAGTGGGTGGGGCGAGAGCAGAATTAGACAGAATGCTGGAAAGAATGGAGAGAAAGCATTTGCTTCATCATTGCTCCCAGTTCCTTTTCTTCTCTTCCTCCCCAGTTTGTTACTGGGGACAGGTGCAGCTTACTTATTGCATAGATCACTGGATCTAGAATGAGCCATAGAAACCTTGAAGGCTGTCTGATCCAAATCCCCATTCATCGTTATAACTCCCCATTTTATTCAGGAACTCTCTTTCTTCTCCAGCAGCTTTCTGAGCAGCCCTCGAGCCTTTCAATTAAAAGTGCACTGATGACAGGGGTGGGGGAGGGATGACGTATGAGGGACACACAGTAATGGACAAATATAATAAAATACATTTAAAAATAAATAAAATGTAAGAAAATGAAAAATTATATCCAAAGAAATAAAATAAAAGTGCACTGACGAGAGCAGAGGTTTTGGAATCAGGTCTGGGGACAAAGTGTGGCTGTCCCCAGAATCTAGCCAGCATCTCAGCATCCTCGTCTCATATGTTAGTCATAATAAAAACGAATTCGCAGGACTTTGAGGATTACATGAAGTAAATAAAAGTGTAGTCTATAAAAACTTTAGCAGGCAGAGCTAAGCTAGGGAAGCTAAGCAGTTCAACAGGACCAGGACCCGGGCTTCCTGTCTGTCGCCAGGCCACACCTCTCGTCAGCACCTCACCGACTTTCTCATCGGGTCTCATAAAGCCATTGAAAAAGTTCCTGCTGCTGGAGTCCTCGGCATGCTGCCTTATGTAGACTGTAAATGTTTTATTAATAACAACACCTCACATATATTCAGCGCTTTAGAATTTACAACGCACTTTCACAAGTATGGAAAAATACCCGAGCCAACACTGCACTGACGACTAATAGAGGCAGGAAGCGGAGGGGCCAAGGGTTCTGCAAGGTCTATTAGGGATGCGGATGGAAGTAATTTGCACTGGTGACTAGCATAATAAACATTAAAACCGACTAGAAGTAACAATGCAAGATAGGTTCCAGCTTGGAAACTTGGCTTTGATGAATCAGAAGACCATAGAAATATAGCATAGGAATTTTTGGGCGCAAGAATTTAAAATACTTTAAGTTTGACCATCCAAATGGTTCAAATGTCCAGGAGGACAGCTCTTTGCATGTAGGTGAATTTTCACTTACAAACTAGAGTATAGCAACGATTTAGACTGCATAATGGTAGAAGCTTCAGTGTTCATAATTTAGAGACCAAAGCATATGGAACTGAAACAAACAGCAAATAAGTTCTCAGAAGTCCACATTAACTGGGTGTTTCAATACGACAAATGTGTCATGCTGCATGCAAAACTTTTATAAATAGAAACTGTTACCTTGGCTTTTCTCACAACCTTCTCAAACAGCTCTTCCTGTGTGTGAGGATTTTCACATTTGGAAAATGCTCAAAAGTGAATTTTGAGAAATGGGAAAAAATTGAAGGTGCATTTTTAATATAGCATATTTCATTATTTCTGTATTCTAAGAAGATGAAGGAACATATATTTTTCTGTTAGAAAGAAAATGGTCCTTTTAACATCTAGTTCCCTCAGAAGATGAATTTTTAAATATCAAACACTGACTAACTCACTGGTCCTAGCTTTATGAACATAAGGGGAAAATTAGAATTACATGCAATTGTCATATATTTTAAACTAATACCCAAGCAGATATATTTGCAATACCTCATGCCATCTTAATACCTGTAGGCAATATTGCAAACCAGGTCTTTCTCTTTTTTTCCCCCCTCTGCCAAAAATCTACACTTTGTCTAGCAGGAAACTCAAAGTCGGTGGGGTGGGGGAGGTGGGGTTTGACTCAGGTAGACTAATGGAGAGAAGGGCTGACCACCAAGCTTCAGACACGGGTAGACATGGCCCCACTGAGCAGCTACGGGGAATAGGTCTATACTAGACAGAGCCCAAAGGAGGACAGTTTGTGTCTCACAGTCCAAATTTGGTGGATGTATTTTTGAAGTTTCTAAAGGTTAACTACATGCTGTAATACACTATAGAAAGAGGCGAAGATGAATTTCACTGTGCCAGTCAAGAGGCTGGCTTGAATCTGCTATTTAGGACTAAGGGAGACAGTACAATTTACATGTGTGAGAATGTGAGAATAATTTTACCTTCTGTTGTTTTCCAAACCACCTTGGGCCATGATTTTTAAATTGAGACACAAGAAGATCTCCTGAGGTTCCCATAGCAACATTAACTTATCTAACTGCCCTTGTGCTATGTAATACTTTCATCACTAGTTTGGCTTTTAAATGTACATTTTAGTTATGAAGTACAACTGAATTAAGAGTCTCAGGCAAATTTTAAGTTCTACATTTACTGACTGATGCATGTTTAAACATACCTTGATATTGTACTTGTAAAGACTTGCTACCGAGCAACTGGGCACAAAAACCTTTACATAGTCTTCCTCGCCCTGCCTCCCTGCTTTCCATTCCACAGATGACCCCTCACTCGACCGCTCTAGATACTCTGATGACATGTTGTGACTTGGATAAGAGAGAAACCAACAAACCTCAGATGGCTCCAGTCTGGAGACTAGAACCCAGCATGCCCTGTATTCCAGTCTTTCTATAATGGGCCGAGCCCCTCCCCATCTTTTCCCCGCCATTCTTCATCATGAATATCCCACACCAGATACAAGCCTTTTCTCACCATCTGAGAGGGCACGTCCAAGGACTAGCCTGGGACCTGCCCCTCCCAGGGCCCTGGTTCTACCCCCTTCCTTCCCACAGAGACCTTTCTGAACCACTGTCACTTCTCAGAACCACTATTACTGCTGGGAACACTGCTGTGTGACGTGTTGTTTGTGGCTGGGCAGCATGCCTCCCTTTTTAAATAACAGTGTCTTAATTTTCCTTTGAGGAACTTTCCTCCATTCTATACATTGTGGTGGTACCATCAATTAAGCTGCTTTGCCCCAGCCTATTAAAAGATAATCCATGACCTAAATTGGACCAATCACATTCTTCCAGGAAGTTGAATGTTTAAGTAAACTTAAAAAAGGAACAACAGTGGGAACTGAATTATTTAAGAGTGTCCATTTCTTCCAGATTTCTGTCACTCATAATCAATGTGCACTAGTTGTTAAGCTCCCCATTTGAGCACTTGTTCATATATTATCTTAAATCCTGATTTAGAGGCTTGGGATGTGCACATTTTATTTTGCCAGCTAGATACTATTTATATTATGCCCTCTGAAGACAGGGCTGGGTCTGTCTGTGTTCATTGTATTATTCCACAAGACTCAGCACAATGTAAGTACTTAGTAACAAATGGAAAACCAACTTTAGAAACTCCATTCTAATAATGTGCAACGTGTAAGCCAATTTATATCCTTTTTGAGGCAGGGTGGTAAGTAAATTTTTAATTGCTACAATTTAAAATTTTTCTTGGGTATAACAGTTGTCTTATGTAGGATTTACAACAACCTGTACACCTAATAATCTGAAAATAATGTTGATTAGCATGGGTCATACTTCCCCAATATTAGAAAAGGAAAGAGAAACTAAAATTCTATTTCAGACATTAGTCTCTGAATTAAAAAAAAGTTTTGGGGGAAACAGACAACAAAACAAAAGATAACACACCTCTGCCTTGGGTGTGTGATTTTCCCTGGAAACAAGGTGAGCTGTCTCTCTGCTGCCAGATAACACTGGAGGGGAGCGAAATTTTGCTGTTTGACTAATATGTAGAGTAGGTGATTTTTTCCACTTCTAAAAAATAAAAGGTTATGGTTTCTCAGAATCATCTGACTTATAACAGTAATTTAATTGAATGCTTACAAAATTCAAACAAACAAAATAGTTAGACATCATAAACCCAAACAAGCTTGATCATATTAAGTTTTGAAAACACAGAATATGGTGTACTCTTCCAAATCACTTACATATGGTTAGAATATACAAAAGTTCACCCACGATAAACAGCAGAGTATATGCATTTTCTTCTTCTGATTGTCTTTTCAAAAATGAAAAATTTATGGAAGTCTTTGAATCATGTAGTCTTCTGGTTTGTACCTTAACATGGTACATAGCTCAGCTATGAGAATGGTATGAAAATACCAACTGGGAGCTTTTTTGAGTCAAGTGTAATGGTTTCTGGAATTTGCCTTGAACCCACACTCGGTGCATTTTCACTTGTTTTTTCCTATTAACTTGTAAGCGACGATCAACCAGATTTTGCTTCTCATCTAACCCAGCCTTGCAGAACATATTGTGGACTTCCCCTGTGGGATGAAAATAGCAATCAAATGTATGACATGTGACTGGGGTGGGGGGAGCAGTCAGGAACATGGAACAGTAAATGGGATGACTGACTAACTTTCATTCATACTAACAAATATTCCAGTACAAACTGGTGAAGGAAGAAACATGTGAAACCAAGCAGGTTTCTTCTACTTCATACAAATACACCAAGTATAAATGGGTGACCACAGCAAGCACAGACATACACCACTATTGGTTACAACTTTCAATGTTTTGAAAGTTGTCCCCTGTTTGAGTTTTTGTTGGTTTGCAGAGACCCCAAATGACACATTGGAATAGTTTTCACAAAAGTCTGGGGGAAAGTCTTTGAATGCAAGATTCATTTTAAATACTTTTTTAAAATGAGAAATTAAAAAGAGCTAAGTAATTTTCTAAGGACTTTTATGATCATATTCCTTCCTTTGGCTGTGGCATATCATTAATCTTTTTCATATCTGGACTAACACTACCTCCAAAATGGACAAGACTGCCTCTTCATTTGGGTATAAGGATGGAACAAGTGATTATTTAAAGCAGTTTTGGCTGGAAAAAGATTAGCGGGCAAAAAGGCCATTTTCAAGCTTTTACATAGAGTAGTATAGCCACCAAAGTGTGAAGACACCTAATGTTTAATCAACCATTGAAGCCCCATTTTTAGAGCTTTTGAATTTTTTCTCTGCAAACAATAACCAAAAAGACTTTTTACAGCTAATTATTTCCTCTTATGGATAAGCAAACCTTTTGTAAAGAAATAGGCTCTGGTACCATCTCCTCGAACATAAAAATTTTCAGCTAAACAATGCCCTGGAAAAAAAACAACAACTGTGAGCAGAGAAAGTGGTACTTAAACAACAGAAACAAAAACAAACTCTTGGCATGAAATATAAATAAGGCATTCTTTGAAACACATGAAAATGATTTGAAGCAGAATATACTGTTACCCTTTTTGAAACGCAGCTGAGTCTTATCATATCTCCCATAGTCCCGAAATAGCAGCATTCCACCAGGTTTCAGCAGCTTGGACAATTGGTTTACAACACCTTGCATCCTTTGAAAACAAAGCAAGTTACCCTGTTTGCACAAATCTTGTTTTATATGCCACATTTAACTTTCTTAAAGATAAAATAAGAAAAGCTCGCTTGACAAGGCCAAAGAAGTCTAATCCACAAAAATAAGGGCAACAAAAACAAAAAATATTTTGTATAGAAAGACAAAAGGATACCAACTTGCTAAATTGTCAGATTCAAATGGCAGAGTATTTCTTGATTCCAGATGACCAGAGTGGTACTTTATAGAGCTTGATGTATGAGGCCAAACCTCAACTACAAAACCACCTGGACATTGGCCCTGCCTGGGTAGCTCAGTTGTTTACATCATCGTCCTGAAACACCAGGTTGTGGGTTCGATCTCCAGTCAGGGTTCATACAAGAACCAACCAATGAGTGAATAAATAAGTGAAATAACAAATCTCTCTCTCTCCTGCTTCCTCTCTTGAAAAATCAATTTTTTAAAAAAAGCCTACACAGACATTTTCTGATATTTATAGCAAATTAAGGTAGCTCCAAGTCAGATAAAAATGGGTGTTGCTCCATTTTCCTTGCAAGACAAACACATATGCCAGAGCCATTCCAAGTTGTACATATCCAAACAGGGTTCGTCTTTCTTCCCCCGCTAGCTCCTTTTATTCTGACTGTTTAGTTCAAAGGTACCGTCATTCACTGAAGTGTATATCCTCAAGCTTATCCTTAAACCCTTTTATTTTCATAGTCTTCCAATAGCCTCTCCAAAACCATCTGGTCATCAAATTCTGTTTTTTAAATGACATCTTTGATACTTTTTTCTATCTTTTGTTTCCCATTGGTACTCCCATAGGCCTGCTACCTCCTCAGGCCTGAGAACAGAAAAGCTTCCTATCATGTTTTATTGTTCTCTCTGTCAAATCTTTCTGGATATTACTGATGAACTGTTCTGTTTAAAATGATGGTTTTTGTCAAATCATTACTTGGCTCAATTAATTTTTACAACCTCTTTCCCACCACTTCCTAACCTGAAGCATCAGCTCTAGCCCAACTACTACATGCTTGGCTCCGAGCAGCCCCTGCCTTTGCTCCTGTGGTTTCCCCTAAAAGAACTCTCTTCTCACTCTCCATTTAAATTCTGTTCACACTGCAAGCCTCAGCTCAATAGTGGGAAGCCTTTACTTTCTTTCTTTTATTATTCATTCTATTCATCTGGTTCCCCATCAAATACGACCCCTTGTCACTGCTCTTGACATAATGTTTTTGGTTAAGTGTTCATGGACTTACGTGTGGTTATGGGCGAGCGATGGCAAAGATTTCAGATCTTATATCAGTGTCCAGTGTTTGACACTGGCTGCCGACAGCTGTACTGAGAACTGTTAGGGCTCATGGGGAATGAAGATCAGAGCACAAAACCAGTCATCGACGTCTGCCCTGGGCATAGAGTGGTCAGTGGGAGCCGGCACGCTAAGTCCCTGCCATCCTTGCTTTATCCGCACTACTTAGAGCTTCTGAGACTTTTTATTTTAAAAATGAGGGTTTGGGATCAGATAATCTGGACATTCCTTCCAATTAAAATGCTGTTCAGTGGACCGATGGGGTGAAGAGCCACCAGACTCTGGCAGGTTGTAAAAGAAATGGACAGTGAGAAAACGAAAATAACTGTGTAAACTAGAGAGAGGTATAGCAGAAAGAAGCGGCATGATTAGATGAAAAACTCCTTAAAAAAACCTGGAACATAAGTACATGAATGGGGAAAAAAGTACTTTTCCTTGTTTATTTTATTACAGGTTTTCTTTTTTTCCCACACTGTGCTTATATCTTTAGGCTTTGGCAGTTAAATAAAGCTACACCTAAACCTTAAAATAACTCACTTTCAGGGTAAGTGTTTTATTTACAGGGAAAAGTCTCTTTCTGCAATTGTTACTAAAATGAGCATGAAACAAAAATGCAAAAACATGAACAGCCAAATACAGTTGACCCACGAACAACACGGGTTTGGGCAGCGCTGGTCCGCTTACACATGGGCTTTCCCCATACACACACTGGAAGCTTTTTTGCGATTTCCTGACCACCAGGCAATGACAGTATTGACCACACTAGGCTACCATAAAGCAATCATATTGCCGATGAAATGTTATGCCTCTAAATGAGTATGCATTTCTTTTTCATAGTATCTGTTCACTTTTGGTGTCTAGTGTTGGCAGTATGTATAACATGACAGAGTTTTGTATCCTGTGAGACAGTACTGATGTAGGCGCTGACAATCCAGCTTGGAAACAGATGATGTAAACTTATGGGGTCAACAAATACAACACAATGCTGTAAATGTATCTCCTCTTCCTTACGGGTTTCTTAACAGTATTTTCTTTTCACTAACTTACTTTATTGCAAGAGTACAATAACATCCAAAATATGTGTTAATTGACTGTTTATGGTAAGGTTTCTAGTCACCAGTAGGCTATTAGTAATTGCCAAGTTTTGGGGGAGTTAAAAGTTGTATGCAGACTTTCAACTGCATGGGGGCCAGCACTGCTAACCCCGCTTCGTTCAAGGGTCAACTGTAGTTTAGAATGTAGCTGCCTCCTTCCATAAATCCTTCCTTCCCAACTTTCCTTTAGTGTCTGGTGTTGTGGCTAAAAGGCAAGCGGTGGGAGCTGCTTTTGTTGAACCTCCCACGGTGGCTCACGATGCAGTTCCAGGGCCAGGTCCTAGGAATTGCGGGTGGAAGAGGCTGGCAGTGAGATGGGCCCGACAAGAACGGGAGAAAGTCCCTTTTCTTTCTTTACCCAACTTGGGCCAACTCTGCTATCCTCACCTGTCTCTGGAGAAGGAAAAGAAGATATTTTAAAAAATGCGTATTGACTGCCCACGCTATGTTTGGGTCTGTGGGAAACATATAATGCTTTCTTTTATTTTAGTGACAAGAAGGGCAGTAAACGCTTCTCTTTTAGCCTCCTATGGTTTATTACCACTAAAGCTGGGCCCCCAGCCCTGCCTGGTGTGGCTCAGTGGGTTGAGCACCGGCCTGGCAACCGAAGGATCGCTGGTTCCATTCCCAGTCAGGGTACATGCCTGGGTTGTGGGCCACATCCGCAGGTAGGGGCATGAGAGAGGCAACCAGTCCATGTCCCTCTACCACATCGATGTTTCTTTTCCTCTCTTTCTCTTTCCCATATCTAAAATTAAAAAAAAAAAAAGCTGGGTCCTGTAGACTCAAGGTCTAGCTGAACTGTTTGCTGTTCCTTTGTGCATGAATTTTACAAGCTGGCAAGAAGCTAGTTTTCTAGAAATTACCTGGGCCTTAATCTACTACCACAATCCTAAATGACCCTAAAGATACTGCCTTTCCTTTTCACTGAACTATTGCACTCTTTCTCTCATTTACCTTATTTTTAGATCATTCCCATGTAGGTAAGAAAGTGACACGATACATCTGAGTTTACTCTACAATAAATAAATAGAATGAATGTACTGTACTATAGAAACAATCCAAGACACCTGTTTTCCCCTCTCTTTAACATTCAATTCAAATCATGAGAAAAATATTACCTAAACTAATTTCAAATAGTCCTTTTGTGGTCTTATTGGGAATTTAAACATTTCCTGTTATGAGTGTCAAGTAGAAAATCTTGTTCTCTATCCACCTACTCCATCCTTTTAACTATGAAACGAAACACATAGATGCCACTTTTCTACTAGTACTTGAATAATGCCAACAGTCTAAACAGATTAGCTGAAAATATAGGTTATAGAGACTGACAGAAGAAGTAGCCTTCTGGAATCTGATACATCTTACTAAATACAAATAATATCTTTCATTCAGATTTATTTAGAAATCTAATTTGTTTTCCCACAAGTAATCAAAGTGCTCACCTCTGAATGAGAAGTAGAAGGACTGTAAAGAGTCCTAGTGACCTTGTAATTGCAAAGAAAGAAGCGCACAGCAACTCAGCTTCTTTGGGAAAGGCCCACACTCATCAGACAAAAGGCGGTTGAGGTCAAGTCTGTATCTACTACCAGAGGCTCCTTCCTGGAGCTGAATCTACTCCCACAGTAGAAAACCCAATTTTAAGAAAACTTACAAAAGCACAACATCCCCTGACACCACGCATGGGCCTTAATACATATGAGATGGCAGAATCTTAAGAAAAGTGATCATTTTAATTGCTGGTAATAGCTCTTTATGCTTCCTCTAAGGAGAAAAGCTATGTTTACTGTTTTAGAACATTGTGTGTGAACCAAAAAATTTAAGTCATAAATATTTAAATAATACTGCTAGGTCAGTGTTAGATTATAAAAGTTCAAGGTTAATCTGGCAAATCTTGATAATCCGTAATTCCCTGGTGCACTTCTTTAAAACAACTTTCGTAAAGCCCCTTGACTGACCTGTGTGGGGCCAAGTACATTCCCAGCCCACCTCTTCACGAATGTTCAGTAAGATGCTAAATCAAAGATGTTTGTTTCTGATCACCAAGCACAATTTCCCTCTTGGGAGTCTATTAGGCTGTTCGGAATTTGTAATTTCCTTGAAGCACTGTCACTTTTAATAGATATGTGTCTTGCTGGAATGTGCTCACTTCATTCTGACAGTGACAGAAAGCTCACTAATGAAGTCGTTTGACCAGTTTCTTTCTAAAAGTCTGAACAAAGAAAAAAACTGTATTTAAAAGGCTGTGTATTATACATAATGTCGTTCACTAAGTAATAAATTCAAGAATTGTCACTTTTGCCTTGATAGCTCTAAAAACTACCACTGGTAAAGGGGCTCCGCGCATGTGCTCCACCCCTGTCGGGGTCGCCCACCTGTCGGGGTGGACAGAAGAGAGCACGAAGACGAGGAGGACGACGTCCAGGGTCCCGTCCGGGAAGGGGTAGGGCACGCGGTCATCACAAACGTCGCGCACGAAGGCGCAACACTGGGCTGCTCTGTAGGATGGGTGTGACTGTCATGATGAAGGAATATGAAGAAGAAAAAAGACTAGTTAGATTTATAGTATTTTTCTTAAAATTAAAACGTCAATTTTTTACTTCTCCCAAAGAAGTAAAAAGTATGCTCCCAAGTTCCTTTCCTCTACAAAGGTGAATGAACTTTATTTCCGATTCAGTATTGTTAGCTTATTTCGAAGCTGCCATCGAAAATCACGTCTAACACTTGGACTTGATTGCAGTTCCTCCTGCATTTTCACGGCGGAGCGGGGCAGTTTTCCTGACCCACCGCCAGCGCTGTCGGGAGACGGCCCTGTGTTGCGTCAGAGGCTCCTCGGCACTCTCCCTGACCGCTTGTTCCACGGCTCGTTTGGCTTCTAATGTACGGCATGATGAAGATGAGATAGTGGTGATGGTCGCACAACTTGTAAATATGCTAAAAACCACTGAATTACATATTTAGAATGACAAACTGTAGGGTATGCAAACTATATTTTAAAAGATTGCATTAGAGTCTACACACACACACACACACACACACACACACACAATTCACCTACAAAAACAACAGTACAAGGATATATACCAAAATATTGACATTGACTCACCCTCAGACTCCAGAAAGTGTGACTGGAAGTAAATTTTACCTGCCCCTTTAGGCTTTCCAGTATTTTAGAAACAGTCTAACTATCAGAAATTATTACTCTTACTATCAGAAATCGTGTTCCATGTGTTTACTACACACTTTTGTTTGCAGGAGTTCCTTTCCCTTCCCATTTCCTAACATCAGCAACACCTCTCCTCGCTAAGGTTATGCTCACTAGCATTTGGGGACTAGTCAAATAAGTCCAGGATCCCCACTGTTTTCCTTCCCTTCTAGGACATTTCAGTTGTTTTCTTTGTCAGAAATTTAAATTTCATGAGCACCTACTCTGTGCCAGACTGTGTGTAAGGCTTTACGGATGTAAATATGAACAGGATCACCTTGCCAGAGCTGTTGGCCTTTCTAGCTGTACTAGTCCCTTCAACTCTATGTTAAATTCAAAACAACGTTTATTGTTTTAGGGTTATATCTTAGGCATCAGTTAATCATATGGTTCCCAGAAATAGTAAAAGTTCAGTTAAACATGGTCACAGATAACATCTGAGGTGGAAACATCCTCCCCACCCTAGCCAATCACTTCAACAGCAAATAAATCAGATTCTTATGTGGCTCTCTTTAAAGAAAATGTAAGACATACCTTTACCAGCTCCACAGCTCCAGAAGCAAAATCACAACAGTAAAGAAAAGACTCTGGAGCATTCCTATAAACACAAAAGGCAACACTGAAATCCAGAACCCAGATATGCTCAGACTGCAAAAGAACAAAAACCACGTTTGAACTGGTTAATAAATATTTCCTTGGTGGACTTTTGGATGACACTTGGCTTGTCGTTTCTTCTTTGTAAATATCATTCTCTATAGTGGTTTATGGGTGGCCTTCATGTTGCTTCTGGCGGTAGTGGATTTTATAGCCTACTTGGGGACATAATTGGTTTTAACACAACTACTATAGGACTGGCTCCTAGAGGTGTAAGTCTTAAGAATTTTGAAGGAGGAGGATGGCATGGCTAAGTGGGGAGGAGGGGAAAGGAATACGGGTTTAGAGGTAGGAGTCACACTCCGGGGATGAGAACCAGAGCTGATCTCAAGGCCCCAAACTGGTAGGGGGCAGGATATGCAGGAGGGTTTGAGGCACACAATTAGAACTTCTGATTTGATTCAGGAAGCACCTCAAGCAAGGAATACTTTTAAATAAATATGGAATATAAGCACATTTAGCAAAATCTCCCCCAGGCTCAGATTACACTCTTAAATGCTACAAATTGATGACCACTATGTTCATGTATAATTCACTCATTCTGTGGCACTAGGGATTGACATTCGATTAAAGATCTGTCCAAATGACTTTAAGTATGAGGAACAGAATTTGGTTACAAAAAGTTAACCAGCACAGAATCAAAGTTAAAATTCACACTGGCTGTCCTTTCTCGTCTGCCCCACATGAACCCAGTGACTGACTGCAGCCAAACTCCTCTCATTTTCTATGAAATCCATGTATTTGTGACTGGTAATTGCCGGCGGTCACAAGTGTTTGGAATGTTCTCAATAAACACTCGGGTGCACACAGCACTATGCGATAGGATGGCTAAGGGTGAGGGCTCTGGAACCAGACCGCCTGAGCTGGAGACCTGGCTTTACTACTTAGTTGTGTGACCTTGGAATAGCTAATTTCTCTGAAACTCTTGTCTCCTCATCTTTCACACAGAGATGAACATGGCATCTAAGGTGGTTATGAGGATTGATGAATTCATATAACTTTCTAGAAAGCTGTCTAATTTAGAGCAAGCACCTAGTAACTGTTAGTCATTGTTATGTTTTTACTGTTGCTATTATTATTATCACTATCATAATATTAAAGAAAGATCTCCCTCTGCCTTCCAGGAACTTAGAAACATAAGAATTTAACAGGGTTCTATAAAAACTTCCACTTAACTCAAAATGCTGCTCTAGACACTGCCACGTGTAGCTCATTATGAAAGCTATGCAGTCTACCTTTGGGCAGTGGTCACTAAAGGCCCACACAGCACAGCAGTCTAGTTGCTAAAGGAAAGAATGGGCCATTTGCCCTGGGTCCTACCAGGATAGCAACACGACCTCTGAGACTAAATTCTCACTGCATCAGCAGCCCAAGTCGAAGTCTTGTGACTACTCAGTGACATTTCAGAGCTTTTCTGTAAAGTCAGCTGACCGCCTTGGCCCTTCTCCCAGCAAGCAGGTGTAAATATCACTACTACCACCACACCACCAAGCACTCTCCTGGAAGGGGGTTTAAGCATTAAATGATCTTTGGAGAATGATATGACTTCTCAATTCTGAAGGTGTAATTATGGTAAAATATTCTGAAAATGTAAAACATTAACTCTATACTCTCCAAAAGTATAATAAAACATAATTTCTTAGGTGGGGGAAAACAATCTGATCTTCCTTTGGGAAGGTTAATCACTGGTTGCCTTTTAAAAAATATTTTAAAATATGTTTATTGATTTGAGAAAAGGAGAGAAAAACACTGATTGGTTGCCTCCCATAGGTGCCCCAACCAGGGATAACCCTCAACCCAGGCATGTGCCCTGACTGGGAATTGAACCTGCAATCTCTTGGTGCATGGCACAATGTTCCAACCGAGTCACACTGGCCAGGGCACTGGTTGCCTTTTAAAGGATGAATTAATGAGCTCAGATTACTGAGGTACAGTGATTTCTAAAATAGGAATACAAGGCAAAATAAAGACACAGACAAGAAAAGCCAGGGACTGGAGGAGGCCAAAGCTTGCAATTATTAGTTGAAGCAAAGTGGAGAGGGAAAAATACAACTAACAAGTGGGGAATCAGAGATATTAATGAGTCAATATGTACTGAGCTCAAACTATCTATATTGTACTGATAGGCTACCTGGAAAAACAGATTAGGGTAAAATATGCTCTCTCCCAAAAGGAATATAAACAGTGGTTGGAGAGATAAGACATAAAGAAATGACATGCCAAATAATACCTTGAGATGAGTTGTAAAGTAACTCATAATCGACTGCCAATGTAATAGATTTCTGTGTATTATAAGCTTGGAGATCACTAGCTACGTGCTAAAAGAACAGGAAATTTCAGCCTAGAAATTGGAAAAGAGATAACAGAGGAAATAAGTACAGAAAGAGAAAGGCCATTCAGAACTGACAATCTGCTAGCATCACTTCTGCCTGCCTACTTTAACCAGTTAAATCTGATGCTATTAGGGAATACTCACTCTTCATTATGTTAGGTTTATCATGGTACTGGAGAATGTCCTGATCTTTTTGGGATACATCCTAAGGCCCATCATATTTAAAAATAAAGTGTCATATTGTTGGTTTTATATTAATAATTGTTGAATCAAGGTGGTGGGTACATGGAGATTCATTGTGTGACTCTTTACTTTTCTGAAAGCTTTTACATTTTCATAATTAAAGTTAAAATAGCATATTTAAATTAGGAAATATACATCTAGAAAAGACTGAAAAGAATGACAACAAAAATTCTGTCAGCAGCTGTGTTAGGATAACGGGTAATTCTCCCACCTCCTCGACGCCCCTCCCATTTCCTCTAATGGAAATGTCCTGGAATGTGCTTATGGTGATTGATAAGGGAAAATAATGTAGGAGCTATTGTGTAAATTTCCAACCGGGGTAAAAGGTGTTAGAAAAGTTTTGTAAGGTGTGTTCTATCATGGAGACACTAAAACATACAGGTGAGGTGTGGGAGAGGAAGGGCAGGGCAGACAAACACCTCCGTCCCCATCCTTGACTTCTTTTTGAAGCTGTTACCCCCAAACAGTTTCAAGTCTAGAGACAATCATTTGATGTCTAAAGGTTTTATCCTGGGTGTGGCTCCAGAAGTAATAACACAATAAAATGAGGATTAAAATATAAGCTTTATATGCTATTCTTTAAATGTAAAATGACACCTATGTGTCCTGGAGGAGGAAATCTTTGAAGTTTAGCAATTCACAGCTTAGTGGAAGGATTAAATCTCTTGGCCTTTTCTTGCTCTTTTCTTATTTACTCTTCTACACAAACACGAGCTTAAGAAAATACTTCAGTCCGAGGTGGACAATCCATGACTGTGAGACACTATTTTCACAGTAGTTCCCAGTTCACTTGAAATTAAGCTCTAAGACTAAGACACTACTTTTGAAATTTGCCTTACTCTTTATTTATATGCAAACAAGAACTCTACCTGTATATACATGACAACATTCTCCTAGAATTTCTCAACATCCCATATATACATATATATATATAACTCACTGCAAAGTGTTCAGAATTGGAAAAACGCTATTTCCAGCACCACAGCCAACCTAAAATCAAAGAACAAATAAATGTCTATGAAACCAGGTTAAATTTTCCTAATGTCAGATTTTTAATTAAAAAAACTACAAGAAATTTATTGGACCTCTGGATATAGGAGATTTTTTTTTAACTCAAAAGCAATGGAATTAATCACAAGAAAAATACTGAGGCATTTGACTATGGAAACATTTAAAATTTTTACACTCCAAAACCAAAATAAACTGAATTACAAGATGACCAACACAGTGTGAAAAAAACCCCACATTTGCAATAAATATGATAAAGGGTAGAGAGCTCATTTAAAAAAACTATGGGTAAATAAGCAAAGAAAATAAAGAGAACACGAAGTATAAATGGCTTCTAAACATTTGAAGAACTATATGACCTACTTAATATCAAAGAAATGCAAGTTAAAACAAAGTGTAATGTAATGTTTTGTCTTAGAAAGTGGAAAGCACTAAAAGAAGAGTATTCCAGTCAATGAGGATGGGAAGAAACACGCACAGGTTGCCATGAACTGTGTGTGAACTGTGTTAGTACAGCTTCTTACACAGCAATCTGGCAATACATCTTAAGAGTGTTAATTCACTTATATAAATTATAAACCAGTGAATCTAACCCAAGATAATAAAAGAAAATGTGAGAAAGTCTATACCCAAAGATGTTTGCTGTAGAAACCTGAAAACAATTTAAATGCCTAGTAGTATAAAAAAATAAGTAGAATTATAGTATTCCACATAGTAAAGTATTTTGTTGCCATGAAAATATTTATAAAAAATTTTATAGATAGGGAAAACAACTTATGATGTAATGTTAAATAGAAACGAAATAAGACCCCCAACTATAGTTCAGTTATATAAAACAGTATAAATAAAAAGAGAAAAGTCAGTAAAATGTTAACAGTGGGATCACAGATAATTTTATTTTGCTTATCTGCTCTTTAGCAAATTCTCTGTAATTAATATGTTCTACCTTTATAATCAGAAGGAAGAAGTGTATTTCTAAAAATAGAAAATCAAAGTCCACACCAAATTATAGCAAATTATATATCTCACATTTGTAGTTCACCTAGAAAGGGGTAATAACAGAAAGAGATGATGGAAGTTAAGGCCAAAACTTTATTAGTATTTAAAACTGCCTTTAAGTTAGATATTAAAACTGACAAAGTAAAAAAAAAATTAATATCACACACTTAACACCTGACTCATTAAAGATAAGAGTTCCTTAAATTTGTTCATGCACAAAAATATCCTGAAAATTTATTTAGTTAGATTTGATCATTCTCCCCTGAAAAAAGCCTGGATCACTAATAAAGTGATATGGAATGTGCACTTGAAGGTTATTTGCCACCTCCCGTCTTTGCCCTGCAGCACAGGGCAGTACCTCCAGGATCCGGAATGTGGCTCTGCTACCAGGAAACGACTCAGTCTCCAGGGTTCCTTTTCTGTGTGCTTCAGGGCCGAGGTTGGAAAAATCAGATTCCGCCTCACTTTGACCATCTGACAAGCTAGAACTTTCCTTATAATTTCTTTCTTCAGGCACAGTAGAACAGTGCTTTCTCGAGAAACAATTTGCAGCATCAGTTTTTACACGGTCCCATGACAATTCTTTTGTCTTCTCTTCAGTTTGTTGAGCAACTGGAAGAATTTCAGGAAATTCTCTCAACAGCCAATTTCGATCCTTGAAAAACTTATTCTTATGAATCTTGTAAAATGTATCCCAATATTTATTAGCTTCACTCTCATACTTAACTAAAATAAAGAGAAAAAAATTATTTTACTATGAATGATACTATTAGTTATTTTAATAGCAAGATATACTTAATAGTTAAATCTGTTAAGTATATTATATGCATTATTTATCATTTATAACAACTATGTTTACTATGGAATAACTTTAATATTATAATTATCTGATTTTTTTAACTTTTAAAGGTTAAAACTACAGAGTATTAATTCTCTCAAAGTATATCAACGTGTGGGGTATTTAGTTCATCTGTTTCTGTCTCAATAGTTTGGCCAGTAGGTTTTTGTGAGGAATATAATTATTGCAAACAACTTTCACAGTCTAATCTTGGAATCTTCATAATCACATTTTTACCAATAACCTATGAGGCTCTTTATTATCTTAGAGAAAGGACACCTCATTTTTTTATCTGTGTAAATGCAGGTTCAACACAATGTCTGTGCAAGTTGGTAATCAGACAGGAAATTGTGGTATTATACATTACATAATCTTAGAGCTAGAATGGCCCATTGAAATACTCTACTCCAATACCCTTGTTTTGCACTGGAAGAAAAACAGCACAGAATAGATGAACCCAGCCCCAGGGCCTGGAGTCCCATCACAGCAGAACCGGGACACTGTATAATATGTATCCTGGCTCCTGGAATCTAGGGGCCATCCCACACCTCCATTCGTCCCCCACCTCCAGAAGCATCTCTTCCTAACGACATCTCCCTACATGAAGCCTTAAAGAGAATTTCTGATGGCTTTTTAAAAGAGATATACCTTGTGATGTTATCCCTTAGATTTCACTGGATCCCAGGGTCAGGGTTAGGTCAAGAATCTCAAAACTTGAGGGAATTCTTAGCTTTCTGCCTCTTTCTATTTGAACCTTAAATTAATAAAATAATTCACTGATTCCCTCACTCACTCATTCAACAAACATTTCTTGGATACTGTTATGTACCAGGCCTACTCCCTAGGGCCTAATCTACGGCTTAAGAATTACTTTCACCAATGTAGGCACATGATATTTTTAAAGTGCTTCAAAAGAATAAAAACACCTACTGATATAGAATTTCCAAGATTCAATGTTAGGTGAAAAAGCAAAGTGTAGAACAGTATGTTATGATGCACCATTGGTTACAGAAAAAAGAAAAAGAAAAAGAAAAAATGTGTGTGTGCATAGACAGAAATGCACATGCATGTATATATACACATTTACTTACGTCTGTACAGAATAGTTCGGGAAGGATAATCACCTAATTAGTAATACTGGCTGCCCAAAAATAGGGGAACTTAGTGGTTTCCTAATTTTCATTTGAATTTTGATCTGTGTGCAATTACTGTAAACCAAAAACAAATTAAACTAAACTAAAAATAAAAATAACAAACTCATTGCTTTCACAAGTTTAGAGAGGTCCCTACCCTCAGAACAAGCAACGCCAATAATAGCGCTTATCTTTGTTACAGAGCCATGTCCAATGCCCTTGTTTTTTCTTTTTTTTTTCCATTTTTATCTTTATGGCCTTGTACCATGGATCTCCACCCATTTGGCCACAAGACTTCCTTCCCATCAAGGCTGAACTGTATCTGGCAGCAGGACTGCTATAAAGACAGAAACTCCCATCTGTATTTAAGGTCTGCAAAATGAAAGTAAATTTCTGTAACAAAAGGATTATGTGATGTTGAGGTCTAAGACATACTCATATCCGCACTAATGGAAGGAAGCCTATTTACGATTAATCTAAAACTGCTACATATTGATCTTCACAATAGTCCTATCTACTTTTGAAACTTGGAGTGTACCTGATATACAAAGAAAACAAAACATTCTGAAAATCAGACTCAAGAGGAAGTAGGAGCTACCTAATTTCCCTAGGGTCTTCTTGTACCTTGTATTTTTCCTTTTACCTTAAAAACTCTCTTTAACCTACTCTGTGCTGGTAGAAGGTTTTCCTGCTTATAAAAAGCAACCACCTAAAAAGACCTACATTTAGTCAAATCCATAGTACTTTCATTTCCAATAGCAAGCTACTTGTGAAGTAAGTTTGAACCTAACTATCAATAAATAGAATGTAAAACATACCTTGATTAATTTGCAGAATATTCCCCTAGGAATTAATTGGGGGTAGGGAGGTAGACAGCAGAGGAGTAACTTGAAAGAAAAGATATTCATAGCAGTGCTATTTATAAGAGAAAGAAGTGGGAAATATCTCAAATAGCCAACAAACCATGACCAAGAAAACTAGGCAGGTCAAAACAGAGTAACCTTGTACAAATATTACAATTTAAAGAATAATAATGAGATAACATTCACACAGAATGGTCTCTACACTGACTGCAACTCAAAAATCTATCTTACACTCATATATTACAATCAGATGAAAATTTGCAGTAATAACAATTTAATAATTATTATGTTGTCCTTCCTTTTGCAAAGTTTTATCTATATCTTACACAAAGGGAAAGAAACTTAGTTGATTCTTCATTCAACTTGCCTACACAGTTTCTTCATTTGATGAGGAGTTGAATGTAACTCTATATTCAAGCTCTAAAAAAATCTGTGTACATTCCTATTAAACCCCACGAACTTATAGAGAACATTAAACATTATCAGTTCTACAAACTACAAAATCTTGGATAAGACTGCTGTTACAAATATGAGCCTATATTACTGTTTTGATTTCTACAATTTAAAGAGAAAATGAATCTGCAGTAGGTGACTGGAATCTGGTTCAGATACCAAATACACCAAGTGTGTAAATTCAGCCCTGGCCCACAAAATCTTTAAACGAGATCTGATGACTACCAGAAGATGATGGTCAATGTCTGCGAATGTAGACACTTCCAAGCCTTTTTCAAGTATTTCCTACTCATGAATTAGGAGAAAAAAACCCGTTAAACAATTACATAAATCATTACACCAATAACATCATTGAAAATAACAATTATATTAACACATATTAAGTGTAGCTTATGTGCCAGGCACTTTGTCCAATGCCTTCCTTGAATTTTTCTTCTCATTTAACCCTAATAATACCCTCAAATGGACATACTATTATTCCAATTTACAAACAAATTCAAGGTCAAAGGGCTTAAAAAATTTTCCCCAAGGGCCAGCAGAGCTGGGACTCAGACCAAGTCTATTAAACTGTAAAACTCATGCTCTTAACACCATTACACCACATTGCCTTCCTAACACAACACAGTAACCCCCTTCAAAATATCTCTGAAAATAACTGTTTTCTTTTTGTTTTCAGGTTTCTGCTGACACTTTATTTTTATTTTTGTATTCAAACTATTTTGTATTAGTTTCAGGTGTACAGACAGTGCACAGACATTTGTACAGGTTACAAAGTGCTGCCTCCGATAGTTCAAATGCCAACCTGGCACCACAGACAGTTATTACAATATTGTTAACCAAATTCCCTATGCTTTACCTTACATCCCCATGACTGCTCTGTAACTACCAATCTATTTTTTAATCTCACCACTTTATTTCACCTCACCTCACACCCCTCCCCTCTGGCCTCCATCAGCTTGTCTTCGGCATCTGTTTCAATTTTGTATGTTCGTTTACTTTGTTCTTCAGATTCCACGTATGTGTAAGTGATATTATATGGTATTTGTCTTTCTCTGACTTATTTCACTTAGCAGAATACCCTGTAGGTCCACCCATGCTGTTGGAAATTAATCTCTGCTTTTTTGATTCTGTATTTTCTTCTCATTATGAAACATCAACTTAAGATTAAAACTTTGTCAACTGGAGTGAATCTTAATGAAAACAGGTCAGAAATACAGAATTAATTAAACCTCATTTGAATTATATAAGATATAAATTATGCAAGGTTATATGATGAAACTGACGTGAGCAATGGCAACATAAAATGCTCTATGAGAATAGATACGTTCGTGGGACAAAAACAAAACAGAAACATCACCCAGGACAGGCTGGGGAAAAGTTAACAGTTTGGACACTTTTTTTCCTTTTTAAAGTTGTGTTTTCAGCATTACTTCCAGTCAATTCTAGAAATTCCATACTTCCCAGCAATGTGTGACAGCTTCTGAGACCCCACAGGAGCTCAATCAAACTCGCAACTATGTTTATGAGACAACGTAAACACCTTCAGTGTATGATTTGATTTCCTGAACTGAAAGAGTATCTGTGATAACAGGGGATTTTGAAGAGTTACTTTCTTGACCATTAGTGAAACATTTAGTTTCAACCTGCTGTTAACGTATCTCAAGTTCACGCCAATAATAAAAAAAGAATACAGTGTGACGAAATCTGCCCTGTGTTTATCTTGTCCAACTGACCTTCTAGACAGGTCTATTAACGATCAGTTTTTGTTGGAGGACCATTTTTTCCTTTCACATTCCTAGGTTGCCGTATCAGAATTAATTGCTCTAAGCCAGTGGCAATAAAAGGGATGTAGTGATCTGTTTAACCACAGCCAGATGAAGCAACTTCTCAATTATTCACTTATTAATACAGAACTGCTGAGGGGAATAAGGAATATGACACAGTAACCATACTTAAATATTCAGAATTCACTCTGAATCACACTGAATATCACAACTTAGAAAAAGAATTAAACCATTTATGTATCTGACATATATGATATGATTAATATGAATTATGAAAATTTATTCTAAGTTGCTGTGAAACAAAAAGCAATTTAAAGTTATTTTTGCACATCAATTACGCAAATACCTGAGCTCTCAAAGTTGGAAATTTCCACATGTCACAAAGTTCACTGTCTAATGAAGGAGAACTTTTAAAGTTATAAAATGAAAAGTACATTTCTAAGAGCACTGTGAAATTTTAAACAATCAAAGCTTGTAAACAATACCTTAAATTTATCAGCACACAAAACTTTTAGCTACTTTTTATTTTTCACATAGGATATCTCTTTAAGTGGTAAGGTATTCACAAGAAAGGTATAGTGGGATTGTTTTACTATTTTGCTTGACATAGGTAACTCATCCTAGCTAGGTAGTTATTTACCAAGATATTTTAGAGTAAAAATCACAGCTGCCATTGTTATTAAGATTTAAAAACCCATTACATTTGCTAAATAACCAGCTGAGATATAACACACTGGGGATGTTTTTAGAAAATTATAAAATATAATCATGTTAACTCAAAAACTGCCAAATGAATCTTGCCCATTTCTCAAATTAACCTGCTTTTAAAAGAAACATGAGCTATAATAAAATATAAAAGAAATTACCAAAGGATATGTGGAATTAAAAATCATTAATCTGGGCATCTAATTGAAAGAAATACTGCAAATGAAAGCTGGATGCTATATATTTTAATCACAAAAATGAAATGTCAACCATCTCATAGCAAAAAAGACTATTAGTTCTGATGGATAAGTTCTTATTTTCAGAATTGTGAGGGTGTTTTCCTGACTTGGATTCTTACCAACAACTGAAACAATGGGTGAGAAATGGGACATGGGAATGACAGGACAGACTGACTGACACACACAGAGACCGAAAGAAATGTGCTGGAGAGTTGGCCAGCATGGGAGAACAGCCACTATTTCCTCCCAGTGGCATTAAAGTCAGTGAGATAAAGTCAATAAACAGTGCTCATGCTGTATAATAACCTGCTAATGGGATACTCTGTGATGGGAGAAAACTGGCCCCCTTAATGACTTAGGTCTCTCTCTCCTAGGTAGGAAGAGATGGTGGTTAAAAGAGGCGCAGGGAAAACTGGGTCAGAGCTTCCTTTGGGTTTTCACAAAGGTTGGGAGTAGAGCTTTTAAACAGATCTATTCCCCTTGACCCATATTCATCACAGACATTAAATAACAAGTCAGAAGCCTCACCTAGGGCTTCTGCAGACTAGCATCTCTATGATCCCTGGCAGAGACTGGACTGGGTGGCTGGGTAGGATTTACTCTCACTGTAATGTCCTGTCACTGAAGTTTCTCGAAACAGAAGTGTTCTTTCTTTGCCACCCTCACAGCAGCCCCAGCTGCTACTCTGTGCAACCCTGCTTAAGTGTGATGAACCAGTCACCCTCCCTGTGTGCCCCTCTCCTTGTTCCCCAGCAGGCAGGAAGTCCACCGCACTGAGCAGTGTTAGTGGGGGGAGGGGGGGGACACGCAGATGGGACCCAGCAGAAACCCTGATCACTTTGAGTCATTTTAAAATGGAATCTTTTGTTCTGTGTCTCCACAGCAGCCAGAAAACTTGCTCAAAAAGAGACTGGACATGCTAATAAGCAAAGCAAATGCTTCAAAGCAGCAGCATCAGTCTGCTCCAGCCTGCTTTTCCTGCTTCTTCAGAGAGAGCCCAGTCACCACCTTTCTATTTCAGTCACACTATGGTTCTGTGGGAACTGTCATTTTCCTTTACTGCGGTTTCCAAGGCCCTAAAATAAACTTCTCATTAGCTTCACTCAAGTTCATTGTTAACATAAATAGGCCAAAATAGGCAGCCGCATGCAGAGCACTGTAAGGGAACATTATCAGCACAGCTCATGTATTTATGTTCTAAACAGAAATATTCAAAGGAGCATGAAAAAAATCCTTGTTTTTTCAAATTATCAGGAAATATACTGTGTATAATTTTCAACTTCCTGGAAACGAATTAAGATGACTGATAACTTTTAATTCAGTTTAGGCTTGACTCTTTCTGTCACATCCAGGTGGCCCCTCGCAGAAGCTTGAGTAATGTGGAAAATATGTCTGTGCAGCTGCTGGCAAAGAAGCAAAATTATACTTCCTCAGAAACAGTGTGACAGAGTTCCTGCAAAGGAATGCAACGCTGGCTGATCTGTAAGCAGAACTGCCACTGGTATGCACCCTCAAATCCAACCCCAGCACTCCCTGGCCACATCCCACTCCGGGCTGCATGGCCCGGGCTCAGAAACACAGAACAGTTCCTCCGTGGATCAGGTACTCTTCTTTCTTGGCTGCCCCCCAGTACACACTCAGACTTAGAATAAGAAAAGAGAACGAGCTCTAAGGAAGAGCAAATGATGCCAGAGGGTAAGAGGGCAGCTCTGTCCCTTTCACTGGTCAAGGCCAACCAATGAGGGCTGTCTCATTAGCTCCATTTCCTCAATTGTAAAGTCACTAGAACAATAGTTAACTACCGATGGGATTAGTGATTTTCACAAAGCTTGGCTTGCACAGAGGAATGTAAACATCTTTCCCTAGGGAATCTCAGGACAGCTGATCAATCTATCCTGAAAATTGTGTCCCCAGGGTTGACAACCTTTTTCTGTAAAGGGCCAGATAGTAAACAATCATTGTGGGTTATATATGGTCTGTTGCCATTATTTAGCTCTGCAGACATAGCTCAAAAGCAGCCATAAAAAACCTGCAAAGAAATGAGTATGTTTGTGTCCCAATAAAACTTTATAAGAACCAGTGGGCTGGTTTTGGCCCATGGCCAAAGTTTGCTGACACTTGCTCTATCTAACAGGGACACTGTTGCTACAAGAGTGACTAAGAAATGGTCATGACCAGAACCAAACTGTTCTGGCAAAACTAACCTGTGGTATTGGAAGCCAGAATAGCAGCTACTTGCTTTGAGGTCTGAGGGGCTGGGGGAAGTGTGGTAATTGGGATGGAACACGAGGAATTTTCTGGGTTACTAGTAATATTTTATTTCTAAATGTGGGTGTTTGGAAAAATCATTGGGCTTTATGAGAATTAATTTATAAGTTGTATAAATTTCTGTATTTGGCATTTCAATAAACTACTTTTTAAAAAGAAAAAAGAACCAAGATGTTTTAAAGAAGAAGTGATTTTAAGAAAGATAAGGGTAAAAATCCTATCTAGAGAGCGTAGGTGTTTGGCCAAGTTTCCCAGCAATGTAGTAAGGACAGAGGCCATTTGGTGGGGGGGGGGTGGGGGGGTGGGGGGGGGGTGGGTGGGGTGCTTTTTAAAAAACTGTGGTTAAAACAACACCTAAAATAAAACTTACCATCTCAATCATTTGTAAGTGTACAGTCCAATAGTGTTAAGTATATTCACACTGTTGTAAAACAGATGTGTAGAACTTTTTCACCTTGCAATTCTGGAACTTTACACCCATTAAACAACAATTCTGTGTTTCCCCTTCACTCAGGCCTTCATAACCACCATTCTGCTTTCTGTTTCTGTGAATTTGACTACATTTGTTAGCACATATAAGTGGAATCAATCTAGTATTTGCCCTTCTGTGACTGGTTTATAGGGTTTTCTCCCTTTCTAAGGCTGAATAATAATAATCCACTGTATGTATAGACCACATTTTGCTTATTCAGTTTATCTGTTGATGGACATTTGGGATGCTTCCACCTTTTGCCTAGTGTGAATAGTGTTGCTATGAACATGGATGAGCAAATAATCTCTAAAGACCCTGCTTTCAAGTTTTTCTTTCTTCCTCTCTCTTTTTTTTTTTTATGTCCAGAGGTGAGGTTGCTAGTTCACATATGGTAGCTTCATTTTTAATTTTTTAAAGGAGCTTCCATACTGCTTTTCCATAGAGCATTGTACCATTTTACCATTCCACCAACAATACATAAGGGTTCCCATTTCTCTACATCCTCACCAAGACATTTTCTGTTTTTGTGAAAAATTGATCTATTTTTTTAAAGATTTTATTTATTTATTTATTTATTTATTTATTTATTTATTTATTTTTAGAGAAAAGGGAATGGGGAAGAAAAAGAGGGAGAGAAACATTGATGTGTGAGAGATACATCAACTGGCTGCTTCTTGCATGCCCCCAACTGGGGACCTGGTCTGCAACCCAGGTATGTGCCTTGACTGGGAATCAAACCAGCGACCTTCTGGTTGGTTCACAGGCTGTAACTCAATCCACTGAGCCACTCTAGCCAGGGCCACAGATCAATTTTTTAGAAGCCATTTTTGAAGGTTGGCAAGGCCTTACCTAAGTTAAACTCTAAATATCAATAGCTTTCAAGAAAACTACCTTAAATCCTTATTGGAAATTTATGTTTATCCTAAAAGACCAGTAACATTTTGATATGACTTTACCTTCTTTGCTCAAAGTTTTTAATTTGTAGAACTTTCCTAACAAGTGAAATGCACAAAAAAGACTTATAGCAAGAGGAAAATTTTAAAGTTATATTTCCATATCTTGTTTGAAATGCCACCCATGTGTGTGTTTCTTCCAGAAAAGCAACCATATGACAACAACAAAAGAAGAGCAAGAACAAGGTAAATACATAATTTATTTCATTAGCTTTAGTACCACAATAGTGGAAAAACTGGGAATTCTCCCAAAGAAACACATAGATTGGCATAGGGAGAAGAAAAGAACTGTCCAAAGTAATGACCCAGTAAGGAGGAAAAGACACTAAGGTGTGAACTGAATTAGTAGAAGGACAAACAGAAGAGCCAGGACCCAGGCGCTACAACAGTGAGTTGCCTACCTTGCTCTTCCTGAAGGACTCGCACAGCCGAGTTTTCCTCTACTTTTTTTCTGGCCGCTGCTTCTTCTTCTTTTGACCATTGCATATGATCCCTATCAAAAAATAAGACGATTGTAAAACATGCTTTATAATTGAAAAAACCAGAAAAGGGTGGCAGGGGATACATCTGTCACTCTACATTACTCTAAGACGAATGATACAAACTAATTCCATGATGACTGAATATAGTTTGTATCAGATGTTCCTTCTGATAAGTGCTGGTACAACCCTGAACTCCTAAGGTTTCTTTGTCTAAATCTGGTTGTGTTACAAGCCCCAAGCCACCTTTTGGACATAATTGCTGAATATCCTGGAAGCAGTATTATGGTGCATGATTATTTGGGTGCTGGTATGGTTTATTGTATTTTACTCTACAGCTAACTCCATTTGCTTTTTTGTTAATTTATGAACAGGGCATGCTTTATAGTTTTTGAATGCTCTTTTTCCAATAGTTGTAAAATATTTTGTATTTACTCTCAGTTTTTAAAGTAACTTTAGACTCTTCTTATTGGCTACCCTAATTCTATAATTGGTTTTATTTATATTTAAAGTATAGACTACTTGATAGAGCATACAAAAGGGTCACCTTTCTAAGACCCAACACTTCCCTCAGAATTTACTTTCCCTATACGAGAAGATATTATTTTCTGCCACACACACACACACAATGTCTTTCTTGGAATAAAAGCAGCATATTTTTACAAAGAGGTGACTTTTTTATTTTGTTTTTACAAAGTTTTTATTTCCTTTTTCAACTGGTAAAACTATAGTGAGTGATGTGATTTCCTGGAATAAACCATTACTTTCTAAGCAATAATGAAATCACATACTCAAAAATTCAAGTTCTATTAGCTTATTGATAATTGTAAAAAAATCACTAACATTAATATCATGATACCTGTAGCTATCTCATTGAGGAGAAAGGGGTAAATGATCAAATTCCTGATATGCATCATTATGGCAACTGATAAAAATTAACTGATATGTGTATGAAGCCAAGAGTATAGATAGTTTACACAAGAAACAATAAAAAAACTCATTTTGATTGGTTCTCTTGGGTATAATTGCAGATGAAGTTAGGAGCTGGGTGTGGTCAGAGTCAGAGGACCTCAAGTGTGAACAGCTTAATAGTGTGCACGAACAATGCGTTGAAGAGGGACTGAAGGGAGGCCCATTAGAAGACTGCTGCAGTGATCTGGGAGTACTGAGTCCCAGGACTAAGGTGGCAGCAATGGAAAACAGAAAGGAAAAGTGGAAGGAGAGACACTGTGGAAAAAAACCCCTGTTATGTCCTGGAGATTAAATAGATGTTGTGGGAGTAGAATAAGAGTCAAAAATGAATTCAAGGTCTCAAAACTGAGTATCGAGAAAACTGGGACCCTGGCCAGGTGGCTCAGTTGGTAGGTGCATGGTCCCATGCACCACAATGTTGCAGGTTCGATCCCTGGTCAGAGCACATACCTAGGATTGATGTTTCTTACATAGATGCTTGTCTGTCTGTCTCTACAAAAAAATCTACAAATATATCCTTGGATGGGGATTTAAGAAAAGAAACTAGGAGTAATAATGACAGAATATGGAGTTATTTTGGGTAGAATGATGATAAACTTTGTACTATTTTAAGTAATGTGTGTGCAATCAGATATGAGAGAGTGTATCCCAGTGAACCATCTATAAATATACCAGCAAAAGCTAAGAAACTGCTTTCTTTAGAAAGAATTAAAACTGGTATACTGAAGTCCCCTGGAAAAGCAAATGATATAATGTAAAATGCAGTTTCACAGATGAAACTTTAACCAACATTATTTTAATAAAACCTAATTTTTTATAACCCAAATAATTATTAAGCAGCTTTATCGCTTGCTTTAATAAGGTTAGAATAGATTTTGTTTTGACTTATTTTAATACATATGAGCAATCACATAAATAACTCTGAGCTGGTAACTATATACTTAGTATTCTGTACATGTAAATATACAGGGTGGGGGAAAAGTAGGTTTACAGTTGTTCACATGAAAAATACTACAGTAATTAATAAATAATAATAAGAATAAACTCTGTTTCATGTACTCACAACTGTAAACCTACTTCCCCCTTCTGTACATAGAATACTATGAAAAAGAACAAATCATTTATTTAAAAGGTATTATTTTTAGGGCTGGGGATAAGTCTCTCCTCTGTAACCTTCTATAACACATAGACAAGAAAAGAAAACAATTAATTTCCCTGTAAAGAATCAAGCTCTGAGACAATGAGAGTATATGTGGTCTTTAGCTTTAAGCATGTTTTAAACTGTTAGTTTAACTTGCTTCTTCCTGAGTATTTAGTAGATTTAGTTATTTCTTAAATTGCTCTAACTAACTTCCTTACACTGTTCTTTATGTTGCTTCATTTTCTTAACTGCTAAGTGCGGGTAATATTACACCCGAAGCCACTGCAGAACAGATTTTCCACTGTACAGTCACGGAAGCCCCACTGACACTATAAAACGTTCCTACTGTATTTATGGGACTTCCTGCAGACCTGCAGCTTTATGGCAGTTTTTACATCAGAGAAGTCTAATTCATGTATACCAAACCCCAACAGACAGCAATAAGAATCACTCAAGTTTATAAGTAATAAATACAACTGCAATAGAATTTAAGCATAGAAACAAATAACTAACAAATGAACTGAAAATTATCAGGCATTTAACAACAGACAACACTACCACTACCCAAGAAAAAAGAATGGCTTACACTGTTTGACCTGTGAATTGCCCTCTGGGAATTTAATGTCACAAAGTGACTCCAAAGAACAGAGCAGTTCCACACAGAGAAGTGTCTGAACCATGGTATTCACTAGAATACCAAAAATAACAGCAAAAATTTGAAAACAACCTTAGTGATGGGGTAATGAAAAAATTATGGTGACTCAAGGGAGTAGCATACAGACATTTACAATGATAAATATGAAGGTTATGTAACAATGTGGAAAAAATGTTTATGAAATAACATGAGGTTAGAATAGCAGATTCCAAAATTATATATGTATTACAATCACTGCTATATGAAGTTATATACATATTGGGTGAAATGAGTTATGTTAGAATAGTGGAATTAAGAGATGACTGTATTAAAATTTCCTTACTATTATAAAGCTGCTTCAACTAGAGAGAATTCTTTAAAACTACTTTTACAGGCCTGGCTGGTGTGGCTCAGTTGGTTGGAGCGTCGTCCTGTCCCGTAACCAATAGGTTACGGTTTGATTCCCAGCCTGGGCACATACCTAGACTGCAGGTTTGATCCCAGGTCTGGGGTGCATACAGTCCCCAGTCTGGGCATGCATGATCCAGGTCCAAGCTCGTACAGGAGGCAAACAATCGATGCTTCTCTCTCGAACTGGTATTTCTTTCTCTCCCTTTCTCTCTCTCTTCCTGTCTCTCTAAAAAGCAATGAAAAAATATACCCTTGGGTGAGGATTAAAAAACAGCTATATTTACACGAAAACAATACTGTATGTTTAAGGCATATAACAATGGTCATTAAAACTTTACATCACTCTCCTTGGGGGAAAGGAAACCCAGCAACCTTTATATTAAAAAGGAGAATATATTTTCTTAAAAAAAAGATAAAAAAGTAAAAAAAGAGAATTGAGCAGAGAATATTATTAAATATACTGATTTTTTTAAAACTTGAATTTGAGAAAGAGATATCAAAAATAAAAGGATTTTTGAGTAAGAAATTTTCATAAAATGATTGGTGAAATTAGGCTTATGATTTTATGGTTGTCGTTAAGTCCTATTGTAACCGAGCAGACAGGGGACTGTTCATGTGGTGCCTTGGTGCACGACCCAACAATCAGTATTGGAAAGAACAGGTCTTTATACACAATATTCCAATGCTGCGGGCACTCAGAGCACTTCTGCTCAGAGCCCTGTTTTCCCACGAGACCCAGCACTTCCCTTGTTCCCTTATAAACCAAAAGCAAACCCAATAGTTCCCCACATTCTTGTCGTAAGCCAGCTGCACAGAGTTTTGGCGAGCCCAGATGGGACTACAGGAACCTGTACTCAGGTTCCAGCCACATAGGCCATACCCACAATCCCTTTAGCATGGCTGTGGGGACTTCCCAAACTCAGAGAACTGCCTTGCATCCCAGCTCAAGATGCTGGTCTCCAGGAATGCCAGAATGGTGTAAAGGAGCAGGTTTAGGGAGGAAGGGAGCCCCTTGGCTTTGTGAGCTGAGCCTGCATGCATGTTGGGGTTTGGAAATTAAGATGCATGGGTGCACCGCCACGTTGGGTAAATCACCTGAATGCTCCACCATGGAGGCTGAGTCGAGGGGGCACTCCACTACCTTGGGTATAGCATGTGGCCACTCCACCATATTGGAAGTAGGCAAGGTGGTGGCTGCGTGTGCTCTCCAGGTTATGTGCTGCTGCCATGTGGGAACTGAACCAGACGGGTTCCTGTGCAGCTGTGTTCTGATAGGGATGGCTCTGGTCCTGAAGGCCGTGACCCGGGGTCTGATGGGGACAGCCCTGGTTCTGAGGGCCATGAATTGGCATCTAAGAGTGACAGTGTTTCTTGTACTTTATGCATGTGCTTGTAAAGCTAGGGACTTTCAATTGCCAGATACTGCGTTTGAATATAGTTCTTCCCAGTGTGGAAAAGAACAAGGATTGAAAGCATATATGGATAAATCTGAATGGGTAAAGATAAATGGAAATGTTGTGGAAGTTTTACATCTGAAGGAAGGAAACTTCAGCTCTTGGGTGTAGTTATTCTTTATTTTCTTGGTTTCTGACCTTGTGGGCTCCTGGTTTGAACCTTGCTGTTTTGGGTTCACCAGGAATCCTCTGTCTCTGCTTTTTTGGCCAGTGAGACCGAGGACAGGTTCTTTGTAACCGGCTGGGGAGAATACCTTTGCCATGCAGCACCAGGATGGGTCATTTGGGATGCTGATGAATGTGCCACCTGGGGCAAAGTGAGCGTGTCTCTGCCCAGAGACCAGGCCTGAGAGGGCATGTCCCTGCGAGGGGGTGTCTCTATGTTGCAGTGAGGTGCCGTGGAATGCTGGCGAGTACGCCAGCTGACTGGTAAGGACAGAGACAAGGTCCTAAAGCTACTCTAGTCCCCCTTCTTTTGGGACTCTGTTTTTGTTTTGAATTTTGATGTTTGTTCTGGAAGGAAATTGAGGTTTCCGAGGAGGAGTTAAAACTTTACACAATGTGAGAACATGAACAAGGGAAAACTTAAGGGATAAAAATGAAATTTAGTGAATCCAAATGAGTAAGAAGATTTGTAAAAGGGATATAGAAGGTTGTGAAAGTTTGTGAAAGTTTTAGAGAGAAATTGTATGGTTTTAGTAATGGTAGATATGATATGTGGAAATGCAGTTTTGAAGGACAAGGACTTTCCTTCACACTTTACATTTTTCTCCATCCCTGACCCAGAATTTGGCATTCTGAAGGAATAAGTGATGATACAAGGTTTCTTTCCATAAAACCAGAGACCAGTTGCCAATGGTGACTTTGTCAACCAAGACTTTGACTAGAATGTCATGCCTGAAGGAGGCGTGCCTGGGCTCTGGGTGTCTCCAAAACACCCCAAGGAACCAGGACAGACTTTCAAAGCTAGTGATAGCACACAAGACAAAGCCCGGTCCCTTGACTGGTTATGTGGTACATGGCAGTCTTTCCAGGGAAGGCACGAAGGTTGCTTTCCTAAAAGATGGCTAGGAAGAATCTTAGGACACAATGCAAACCTTAAGGATTTAAGAGAAGTGGGTGGTACAAGTGAGGCCAGATGGCAGGTGGGTGTGGCTCAGCTTCTGTGCCCCGAAGGGTGGGCTGAAGAATCAGTCTAAATGTTCCTTGTGTAAAGTCCAGCAAAGCTGACTTAAACATCATATGTGATCAATTACTGCTGTGGTTGTGTTTATGCAAACAAACAGGCAAAATTAAAACTGGACTTAATGCAGTCCCTTTAATGACAATGAGGGTGATCCTGGGGAGAAAAATCATGATTCAAGGAAAACCACAATGCTCAGTGGTGGATATTGGACTAGTGCAGCTAACTGTCTTCAAAGTTTGTTTGCATTTGGAAGTTGAGACTGGGATTGTGACATCACCAGAGATGCTCAATTTACAGGCAAGAAGGATCTGTCAAATTGTCACTGTTAAATGTCACGCCAGCAAAGGCCTTGCAACTGGATGCCTTCCCAAAAGACAGTCTTGCAAACTCAGAGACTGGTTTGTGGGTTGTTGTGTGAATTAACATGTGTGTTCTTCCTCCTCTTTTCATAGGGCATAAGCCTATAATCTCACTACATGAGTGGTTGTTTATACAATGTAGGTCTCACTTAAGAAGCCCATCTGCAGCACCACCTCCTGAGACTCAACAGTTTGACTGAACTGAGTGGTTGGGTTGGTGAAGTATGGGGCCTCCTGTGGGCTTCACTTTAAAACTGGTTCCCATCTACCCTAATGGCTTGGACAGAAAGGGCCCAGAAATAAAAAAGGGGGGAATCCTAAAATATCCCCCTCAGCCCAGCTAAGTATAGTAAGCAAAATGGCTTTGGATAGGTGTGACATGCCTTGACACCTTCCTCCAGACGAGCCACTCTTCCTAATGTAGGCCATTGTCGAATTGGTCCCTGCCTTTGTCATTTAGTAGTTATAGATTTACTTGTGCCTTCTAACCCTCTTGCCAAATCTCTTGCCTCCAGAATATGACAAGGATGTCAACATGTTGAGGAATGCCCACCCGTGGACACCGAGCACGTCATCCTTTAGGGACAGCCAACTGACCTGCACACTGCAGGGTCCTTCCCTACATGTGAAGGCCACTTTCTGCTCCACACCCCCACTCTGCTAGGGATCCCTGGGTCCAAGAGTAGGTAGGATCGCAGCTATGGCCAGCAGGAAGTAGCTCCAGAAGATTTCAAGACTTTCTCCCATTGTCCTTTATAAGATTAAAGAGGGTCCAATATCTGAAAGGGGAGAATTGTAATGAGGTATAGAGTTAGAATAATCCCCCCCACAAACCTTGGTTGGGGGATGAGGGAGAGTGGATGACAGGATTAAGATACTTTGCATATCTACAGCAACTCCGCTGCTAGTTTAATAGCTGTGTTAATAGCTGTGCTGCCACTTTGGGACTAGGTGGACATGACTTTAAGGGTATATCTTGACTCATGACATAGCTAGGGAGGTGGGTTCCCCTGGGTCACTGAGTCACTCTTGCCCTGGCTGGGAATGGCAGCCGAATGAATGTAAACTATACAGGGAAATCTGGCAAATGTTGCTCATAGTGGGAGGAGTTGGAGATGAGGTCATGCAGGAAGCTCCAGATCAGGATTTGAAACTAAGGGTGGGGAGTGAGGCAGGAGCCATGTTGGTAGTGAAGTAGCAGCTATGCAGTTTGTAGGGATTCAGCCATGTGGCTCGGAAGAGGGTAGGAGGGTCATGAGGGAGGAGTGATATAGCAGCCATATAAGAGGGAGAAGTAAGCAAGCAACTGTGTAGTTTGTAGCCAGGATCTGGCCATGTGGCCTGGTGTAGTGGGGGAGGAGACATGTTGCTGCTCTGATCATGCCTGCTCTAGCTGCCTCTGGAGCCACCAAGGACTTGGCCTTGTGAGATGCTGACCTGCTGCCATGCAAACCCGAACTCTTTCTGGACTCTTGAGACTTGTGCCTTTCCTGGACTTCTCCATGATCCAGTGTAATACGACACATACTTTACTGCACTATAACACAAAGACGGATGACGATGTATCCCAGATCCTGAAGAAGAGAACTGGTGTGTAAGGATGGCGACTTTGGTACCTTCCGGAGGGACTGGAGAACTGTTTGTGCAGCTGGCTTAAGAACAGAACATGGGCCCCAGGCTGGTGTGACTCAGTGGATTGAGTGCCAGCCTGAGGACCAAAGGGTCACTGGTTTGATTCCCAGTCAGGGCATATGCCTGGGTTGCAGGCCAGGTCCCCAGTTGAGGGCATGTGAGAGGCAACCACACACTGATGTTTCTCTCCCTCTCTTTCTTCCTCCCTTCCCCACTCCCTGAAAAAAAATAAATAAAATCTTTGAAAAAAGATAAGAACATGGGGAACTTTTGGCATTTCTGGCTTATAGCCTTTTGGGGAACAAGGGAGGTGCTGGGCCTCATGGGAAAGGTGGGCTCTGAGCTGAAGTGCTCCTAGAGCCCCCCAGAGTTAGAATATCATAAATAAAGACCTTTTCCTTCCAATACTGATTGTTGGGTCATTCACCAAGGTGCCATTGTGGACGGGCCCCTATCTGCTTGGTTATACTATGACTTCAGTTCATGTGTGTTTATGTGTGTGTATTTCCTATTCCTTTATGAGAATGATGTACTTCAACGATGATTCCTTACTTTAGCTTTAAGTTGATGGCTATAACAGCATAAATAATTGTGCATTTGTCTTGCTTTGGAAATGTTAAAACACACGTATCAGTTGTTTACCTTGAATGCTAATGTATTGAGGATTCTACCTATAGACAATTCTTCTGAATGTGATGTCACTTCCTCTATAATTTTAACAATCAGATGTAAACCAATCATCCAGTGTAAGCTGTGTGGGTAGAATGTTTTTCTGTTTTTGTCATTTATTGCATATGTAAAAATCTCATTATACAACAAAATTTAAAGACAACTTTAACAAATGTATTAGGTGACTAGTGATTTAAAAATAAAATATTATTAGGTAAAAGAAAAAATAGAGTTTATTAGTTTCAGCTTAAAACTATTTCAATAATCCTTAATTCTATAATAAATTTATGTTTATGACATAGTTATAACAAAAAATTTTAAAGGTAAAAAGTCTTGCCTGTCATTTAGGTATTCTAATAACCTAAGTCAGCTTTTCAAATTCCCTTCCTGTATTTGTGTATATACAAATACACATTTTTCTGCATAGCTACAAAATCTTCATAATTCTGATTTAAAACTTCTATATAGGACTTGTGATTTTGGCCCTGACAGTGTACTGGTAATGGGCTTACCCTCCTGCCATAAGCAATGGTGAGACTGGATAAAGTATATAAAGCAACCGTTTTTAGGCACTGGACTACATTTCAGACAGTGTAGGACTGTGATACTTAAGAGAAGAGAAACACAAAAGGTCAGTCTCCTCACTCGCCCTGCTGTCTGCCTGGGATGCATTCTAGACTGGAGTGCAAAAGTGGAGTCTGGGCAGAGAGTAGCTGTCTGACAGAGTGGCAGTTTTGTGCCTTGAGAAGGTGGTGAGACTTTGTACAGCAGAATGTTGAAGGAGAGGAAGCTGGACAGAGTAGAAGGCCCTTGAAGCCTGCAAGAGTTCTCCTAAGGTTTTTAGCTAGTGGTGGCTGTTCACCCACAGGACAGACTCCACTGGGCCTATGAAGAGGATTCTGGGGTGATGGTGGAAAGAGAGAGCTGACTGGACATAGGCGGTTCCGTGCTTGGAGATACCAGAGTTCTGGCTAAGGCAGAATGGAAAGATCTTTCTGAATACCTCAGGCATGCAGTTAAGACCCCAGGAATGCCATGCCATGGAATAAGAGTCATACTATAGTCAGAACAATACCAAAATAGCATCACCCTAACAACACCTCAAATTAAACGTGACCCGACCAAGAATTGGCAGTACTTTAACCACTTGCCAGACAATATGTCAATCTTAAAGAACGACAACATAATCCAGATTCATACAAGATATCATCTATAATGCCCACCCTACTATCAAAACTATAGGCATGTGAAGGGACAGAAAAACGTGACCCCTGTTACCAGAAAAGGCCGTCAAACACAGACTCAGAGAAACCCAAATGCTGGGATTAGTATACAAGGACTTTAAAACGGCTTTTCAAAATATGTTCAAAGATTTAAAGGAAGTCATGGACAGGATAAATAAACAGATGCAGACACCTCAGCAAAGAAATGGAAGCAATTAGGAGAAAATTCCAGAACTAACCCATATCCAATTATGAAATTATAAATTAATTGGGTTGGCTTAACAGCTAATAAATACCACAGAATGAAAGGGTCAGTAAACTTAAAAACTTAAGGTATATAAATTGTTCAAACAGAAGAACAGAGAGAAGAAAGAAAGTACAAATCTTGGTAACCTATGGGATAATACAAATTGGTCTAAGAAACACGTAAACTAAAGAGCCATAAATTGAGAAGGAGTGAAGAAGGAAAAAAACTGAAGAAATAATGCCCCAAATTTATCCAAATCTGATTTTTTTTTTAAAAAGGCAACCATTAATCCAAGAATCACAGCAAACCCCAGGCAAGAAAAATACACAGAAAACTACCGAACACCAAAGATGAAGAGAAATCTTAAAAACAGCTATTATATACAGGGAAAAGCAATGTGAACCACAGCTGACTCCTCATGAGAAACAATGGGGGCCAGAACACAAAGAAATGACATCTTTAAAGTGCTGAAAGAAAAATAAATCTGTTAACCTAGAATTTACATGCAGTGAAAATATCTTTCAAAATTTTAAAATAAAGATATTTTCAGATAAGCAAACTTTGGGAGAATTTGTTACCAGCAGAATTTACACTACAAGAAATGTCAGAGAAAGACTTCAGGGTAAGGAAAATGATACCAGATAGAGACTCAGATCTACAGGGTAGAATAAAAATACCAGAAGTGATATAAATATGTGGGTAATTACAAAAGGCAATTGTTTTTTATTCTTTCTTAATTTCTTAAAAAAATATTAACTATAAATAGCAAGAATAATAACAATGAATCACAGAACTTATAACATATAGAGAAGTCAATTATATGGCAACAATATAATTGAATGGATAAGCAGAATCATGTTGTAAGGTTGTCACATTTTATACTATGTGGTACCATATTAATTCTATGTAGACTCTTTAAGTTTAGGAAGCATTACACTGTAATCTCTAGAACTGTGGTTCTCAAAATGTGGTCTTCTGTTTCAGGTGGCCCAGTAAGTCAAAACTCTTTTCATAATAATACTGTTATTTGCCTTTTTCATTGTGTTGACATTTGGACTGATGGTGTGAAAACAAAGGTGAGTAAAAGTGCAACTGCCTTCACATGAGAAAAGGTGGAGGCCCTAGTGGTCACTGTACTCTACACTCCCATCCAGTGGGTGGTAAAGAATACACTAACTCTTGTTGGAAAAATTCAATTCGTTGAAAAATGCACTTGATGAAGCAGTAAAAATTACTTTATAAAACGCCGACCCCTGGGTGCACATGTTGTTAATGTGCGTTGTGACAAGCGGGGAAGCACACACAGAGCACCGCTGCGGCCGCACACGGAGGGTCGATGACCGACTTGTCGAAAGTCACTCGCACAAATGTTTGCACTGTGAACTAAACTGTCTGCATTTTTCCCACGGAATTCTATTTCTACTTGAAAGAGCAACTGTAGAGAAATTATAGTTATTCAGATGTGGGTATTTGGCAATCTTGAAAGTAAATGACATGAACTATTACTTTAAGAAAAACATGTGACACAATTTGTTGCTAAAAATAAATTGTGTGTTTTTGGGCAAAAATTAGAATTTTGGAAAAGTTATGTCTACAACCGTAAGTTTGAGAACTTCCCAATACTTAGGGACTTTTCATGATGAGAATAGTGATGATGTTAACCAATGTAATTTTTAAATATTGTATAATGAAATTGTTAGCATTTGGAAGAGCTACATAAAACATAGAACTAACCTTTTCCAAATTATCCATGTGTGATGTGATAAAATGATGAGTAAGTAAAAAATCCTCTCAAAGTGCATGGTATGCCAGTAGATTATGCAGTCCCCTCCTTGTAGCATATTTTTGTGAATAGATATTTTCATTAAATATATAATTTACGTTAACATGTAATAGGTTTACTGCTGTTTTAAAATGAATTAATAAATACTGGGTGGGGGAAGGGTGGGGAGAAAATACAGACAACTGTAATTGAACAATAAAATAATTAAAAAATAAATTCACAACAAAAAATGAATTAATAAATGCTTTCAATGTTTTAGTTTTAATTTGTAATATGGAATCTACCGATAGACATAATCCGCACAAATAAAAGGTCTTTGGGATCCTCGGTGATTTAAGAGTGTAAAGGGGTCCTGAGACCAAAATGTTTTAAACTATTGTTCTAGAATAACATCTGAAAATAAAGTAAAAATGTACAGCTAAAAAGCCAGTAGCGAAAATAAAAGATGAGACCAAACAAACAAAAAAGATAACTGAACAAACTGTATTAATTTACAATGCCACCAGATTTGGTGTTATCTTAAATTTTTCTCTCTCTCAAAAGGTACCGTATTATTTACTTTGTAGTTCCTTGGTTGCTGTACATTTTCCCATATGCTCACATGTACTTCCTACCTGTTGCCCGTTTATCCATATAGCAAAAGGTCTTCATACTTTTCTAACAATAAAACAAATACTCAAATGTTAACCTTGATGTATGGCAGTAGAAAATCATTTGAACTGTCATAGCCATACAATATATATATCTCATTTCTATTAACTGCAATATTATTTTCCAGTATATGGATGTAACCCTATTTTTAATGGTTTTATTGAGGTGTCATTGACATATTATAAATTTCACATATTAAAATGCACAGTTGGATAAGTTTTGATATATGTAGATATTCATGAAACCATTACCATGATCAAGATAATAAATACTTGTATGTTTAATTTTTTTAAGAAACTGCCAAGTTGTTTTCCAAAGTAGTTTTCCCACTTTATATTCCCACCAGCAGTGTGTGAAAGTTTCAGTTCCTCTACACCCTCATGAATGCTTGGTATGGTCAGTACTTTGAGTTTTAGCTGTTCTAATAGGTACGTAGCAGTATTTCACTCTAACTTTAATTTGGACTTCTGTAGTGACCAATGTCACTGAGCATCTTTTCATGTGCTTATTTACCATCTATGTAACTTCCTGGTGAAGTGTCTGTTCAAACACTTTGCCCATTTTTATTGGGTTTGTTATTAAATTTTGAGAGCTTTTTTATATACTGATTATGAGTCTTTTATCAACAATAAATGTGGACATAACATACAGCACAGTGAGTATAGTTAATAATAATATATTTGAAAGTTGCTAAAAAATCTTAAAAGTTCTCATCAGAAGAAAAAAAATATTTTATTTTATTTATTTATATTTAGAGAGAGGGGAGGGGAAAGGAAGGAGAAAGAAAGGGAGAGAAACATCAGTGTATGGTTGCCTCTCACATGCCCTATACTGGGGACTTGGCCTGCAACCCAGGCATGTGCCCTGAATAAGAATTGAACCAGAGACCCTTTGGTTCACAGGCCCACGCTCAATCCACTGAGCTACGCCAGCCAGGGCAGAAAAAAAACTGTGTGGTGATGAATGTTAACTAAATGATCGTGGTGATCATTTTGCAATATATACAAATATTGAATTAGTATGTTATATACCTGAAGCTAATATAATGTTATATGTTAATTATATCTAAAAAAATACAAAATATAAGAACAAACTATTGATACATACAACATGATAAATCTCAAAACAATTATGCTAGTGAAAGAGGCCAGACAAAAAAGACAGTACATATTCTCTGATTCCCTTTACATAAAATATTGGGAAAAAAGAAAACTAACCCATAATGCATGAAATGTTCTTTCTTCCCTCTTTCTTTTGTTTCATTCTGTTTTTCTGCAGATAAATTATCTTGATACTCAACCTTACCCAGAGACCTGTTTATCTTTCCCTGTAAGTTCCAGTTTGAAGCCTGGGTATATTTTCTCCAGTTTTCTGTAACTTGAGAATGTCAGAGGTGGCAGGGAGAGGGGAAGATTGTATTGGGTAGTGAGCAGTCTTTATGAGGGTCTGCTTCTTTTTCATTTTTTGTCAGATTCATTAAGTCCTATAGCTAGGTTTCATTTACCTAGTTAGGATATGTCTTTGGGTGTTGGATAGTTTCCTTAAAAACAAAGCAAAACATACTATTACTCATTTATTTTTAAATCCTCACTTGAGGATATGTTTATTGATTTGGCGGGAGGCAGGAAAAGAGATATCGATCCATTGCCTCCCATACTTGCACTGACCGGGGACCAAACCCACAACCTAGTATGCGCCCTGATCGGGAATTGGACCCGCTACCTTTTGGTATACGGGTTGATGCTCCAACCGAGCCACAGGGCAAGAAATCTTCCTTTATATGTCAATTATACTTCAATAGAGCTGAAATTAAAAAAGAAACAAGAGATCTTCCTCACTACGCCAAAACAGAAGTGATTTTGCATTGTTGAATTATTCTTTCAAGGCATATACCTACCTATATGCTTTATAAGAAGGTTGCTGCCTTATATCACTAATTATCAAAATTTCCTGTAAATCACTATCTTCCCCAGGAGAGGGTGAATTTCCAGAAAGCATGGACTAGGGTCACACCAGTGTGTACTCTCTGGTGTTTATTAAGCAGCAAGTATTGAATACACATTTGCTGAGTGACAAGTGCTTGCTGAGAAGAATGACCTGTGGGGCAGGAAGAGGATTCTACCTAGAAAAGAAGCCCAGAGTGATATACTAGCAAAGCAGGATCAGGGGTGAGCAGGGAGGGCCTGCAAGAAACCCAAAGCTGAGGAAAACACTTGAAAAGTTTCACTTTTACAATTCTATTTGCACAGGATTGAATTTGAAAGTGGAATTGGCAACTCTTAAGTTGGGATCAGTTAGCCTCAACCACATAAGTTAAGTGATCAGCATTCAAAATCCTTTCTTGGCACTAAATAAACATAACACTACTGGTGACGTTTAGTACACATACGTAATATCAGACGTAAGAAGACAACTCACCACATGTTATGCTCAAAAACTTTAGTTGGGTCAGTTAAAATCCTTGATCCCAGAGGGGCCGCTGGGTGACAGCCACTTTGGTATCTTTGAGGCAGCTTTTTTATCCTTAGACAAGAGAGAGAATTTCTCCAAATCCCATTCATCTTAATCAGGACCTAAAAAATAACAGACAATTAGTCATTATGGATTAAACAGTATATTGTTTATCTAATAGCCAAAAACTGGTCCAGAAGGTTTACAACCTGAAGAAAGGACACGAAAACTAAATACTTTTAAATGAAAGATGGGCGTGATAGCTTTTATCGTCAAGTATTTTCAGATTATGAGAAGGAAAAAGAATCTTTACGGTGTGTCACAAATTCTGGCATTCCTTTTTAATTTTTTATTTATTGATTTGAGAGAGAGACAGAGATTTGTTGTTCCACTTATTTCTGCATTTACTGGTTGATTCTTGTCTGTGCCTTGACTGGGGATCAAACCTGCAACCTTGGAATGTTGGGCTGACACTCTAACCAACTGAGCTACCCAGCCAAGGCCCTGGCTGTCGTTCTTTATAAGTCACAGCTTGACCAACTGTGCTTTGTTTGGTATTTGCTTATTTAAAATTAGTATATGGCCAGAGCATGTAAGCCCAGAACCTGGATTTGTGTGTTAAAAAGTTTTCTAAAGTGATTTTATTATTTTTGTTTTGGAATTCTAGGAAAAAATGTTTCTGGGGGATATTTTGTGACCACTAGACTAAAACCCTAAGTACAGTAGCAGAATAGGTAAATAAACCTATTGTCTCATCCTCTGGGCTGAGCTAAATAATATGAAAAATAGTCAAATAAATAAATACTGTATTAAGATATGACCCCAGCAATTCTTAACTCTGACAACCCTGTATACATATACTTTTAAGAACAGTCAGTAATATATTTGCAAAACAGGTTTCCCTGTACAAAACACACACGTTAATTCTAGCTCATTAGTTGACTAGCCAAATCCATTCTCACTTCTGGAAGAATAAACATTTAAATAGTATGTCATCTTCATTATGTATTGGCAAATACGTCAGTTTAAAATGTTTATGGAAAAGTATCAGAAAGAAGCTCTGAAGAGCTTACTTTCCCCAGTGAGGACACACTGCAACACGGCTGGGCGTTGCACTCCCATTCCGTTGTTTGCCTCAACACTCAGCCGAACACTGTAAGCTGTCAGATGGAAACAGATGCTCTAAGGTGTGTGTACGTACTACGCATCAGAGACCGCCCAAGGTGCTATTAGGCATAAAAATGACATGTATTGTACACCTTTTACCACCTTATTGAAAGTCAATGGCTTTTAAGGCCATGAATTCCAAAAGGAACTGTGGAATGACAAAAACATCTTGTGTTTTTGTACATAAGACTCAAGATACTCCTTTTGGAAAAAAAAAAAAAGCTTAGTTATACACACCAAAAAGGACTGTAATGGTTCCATTCAAATGTGACTAACAATGATGAGAAATGAAACATTCAATAGCTAGTGCTGATTTCCTGTTTCTTGTTTATTTTCCCTTCTCCACTAAAAACATGCTTTTTGGTGGAAGCAAATGAAGTTAAATGCTCCGCCTACCACTACCTTTCCTCTGATGTGCCTTTGTTCTTTTCCCCTGCCAGTGTGCCATGTAAGACTCACAAAACCCTACTTGCACAATTATTTTTAGAGCCCTCTTTCTGCACTGAACACTACTCATAAAATCTTCTATATGCTGAAAAGTAGAAACTGATTACAACTAGAAAAAGAGGCAATTCATGCTCAAAAGTGTAAAATGATGTAAACATATTCCACCCAGGAAATCTGAATCAAAATGAAATTTCAATTCTTCAAATAATCACAGGGTGCTTTTCTATATCTATATATAAAAGAAGAGGAAGAAAGAGAAAAATATGTATGTATTCCTCTCACTATAAATGACCAAGAACCTCTATAGACAGTTGGAGACAAAAAGTCATAACCAGACTGGATATGAGGCAGGCAGTTCAGGAAGATGTCAGAGGCGTGTGTGCCTTGCAGGCTGGCTGTCAGTCTGTAGAGAGAGCAGAGTGTAGCCAGGACCTAAATATGTGGCAATTTGTCCTGCTCAGGCAGCTGTTTTTCTAATTAACCAAATAAGTATCTTTATCTATTTTATTATTTGTAAACATCACAGCTTTGCATTGCTCTTTATCTTTATTATATAAATATACAAATTGACATAATAAATATAATATAAATACATAATAAAATTACATAAATGCCTTCTCAAGTAAATTGCAAGCTTTGAAAGGCGGCCTCAAACTGCTCATGAATTATTTGACTGATTACGCAAAAAATGATACTTGTCTGACATAAATTTAATTGGAAGGAGGCTACTTCATATTTTCCAGGGTGGCTCCTAAGACTTTTACAGTGTGGAAAAAGGAAGGGACAGAAGAATGTGACAGTTTATAGGCAGCTATGCAGTTATATTGACTATAGTGATTACGAAATGCATGCTTCACGTTAGGACTGTCATGGTAGCATGATGTCTACTAGGCCACGATTCCATTTGGTGATGGGGAAAGAAGAGCAGGGTTAGCCAGTATTCTGGCGGAGAAAGTTGGTTTCTGCTACCAGAGTGTCCCACTCGCTTTATGTGCCCTCTCCTAACTCTCTTTTGGCATACCCTAATTTGAATACAGGTTAACTAAGATACTATTTGCAAAATGAAGCTGAATGGGTAAGTAGTATTTTTATTTGAAATAACATAAAGAGGTACAGCTCAAATTATTCCATTCACCTGAAAGAAGGCAAGAAAGGAAGAACAGGGGAAAAACAGATGGGACAATTAGTAACCAAATACCAAGATGGCATATTTAAACCCAACCATAGCAGTAATTACATTCAATGTAAATGGATTCCAGTTAAAAGACATAGACTGTCAATATGCATAAACTATACAATGTCTATAAGAGAAGCACTTTGAATATAAAGGTACAAATAGATCAAAATTTTAAGAGATATCATGCAAATATTGCATGAAAAATATGGTGGAGTTGTATCAATAGACAAAGTAGATTTTAAAAAAGACTATTACAGAGCTAAAATGGAACATTTAATAATGAGGGGCCAATGCGTCAAGACATACCAACCCTAAATGTGCATATACTGTATTTTTAGGATGATGAGACACACCGGACCATAAGACGCACCTAGGTTTTAGAGGAAAATAGGAAAAAAATTTTTGAAGCAAAAAATGTGGTAAAATATTTAATAATCTGTGACCCCACTCCCCCACAGTGAGCCAGGTAAGCTATATTTGGACTATAAGACGTACCCCCCTTTCCTCCCAAATTTGGGGGGATGCATCTTACAGTCTGAAAAATATGCTACAAAATAACAAAGCTTTAAAACACACAAAGCGAAAATAGACAGGAACTTCTAAAAGAAGAAATTAACAAATTCGCAATACTACTTGGAGAGTTTAATATTCCTCTCTCAGTATTCAGTTACTATCAAAATATCAATAAAGATATAAAAGATTTGAACATAAGCAACTTAAATGACACAGAAAGAACACTATATCTCTAATAACACAGCAGAATACACATTCTTTTCAAGTAAACGTGGAACATTAGCCAAGGCAGGCCATATATCCTAGGCTACAAACAAGTCTCAATACATCTCAAAGTTTCTCATACAGAGTATGCTTTCTGATCATAACAGTATTAAATGTTGGTTTTTTAGTGAATTGACATAATAAATGCCCTTTCTTATGTCTAGTAATAGTAATTTTCTTGAACTGTGCTTTGTCTAATATTAATATAACCCCACCAACTTTCTTATGCAGTGTTGTGTATGGTATATCTTTTTTAAATGTATTTGTGTGTTTACATTTAAAGTACTTATCTGACAGAAGCATACTGTTGATTTTTGCTTTTTCATCCAAACTTAAAATAATATCTAGAAAAATCCTAAATATTTAGAAATTAAGCAATATACTTTTAAATAAACTATGAGTTAAAGATTTACACGAGTTAGTAAATGGGAAGGTAAATTATAAAATATATTAATTGAATAATAATGAAATCTTAAAACATCAAAACTTAGAAATTCTGTACAAGTTCACTACCAGAAGTAAAACAGAAATTTACTTGTGAGAATGAGTTTTGCTGTTAAGTGCTGCTGATTCACATCTTTCAACAAAAGAATAGCCTAAGAGTTTGGATTAATTTTCTCATAGAATATCATCTACTTGTACAGTCACCTTCATTCATTCTTTTTTTTTTTTTTGGTTTAAACAAGAGAAACTTATTTTCTCTTGATTCTGAAGGCTTGAAGTCCAAGGTCAGGGTGTCAGCACGGTTGGTGTCTTCTGAGGACCTCTCTTGTTGGCTTGCAGATGGCCATCTTCTCCCTCTCTCTTCATAGGGTCATCCCTATGTTCACATTTGTTTCCTAATCTCTTCTTTTTTATTTTTATTTATTTTTTATGTTAATTGTTGTTCAAGTACAGTTTTCTGCCTTTTACCCCCATCCCAGCCCATCCCCCCAGCCCTCCCCACCTCCTTTCTGTTTCCAACCCCACCCCTGCCATTTTTTGTCCATGTGTCCTTTATACTTGTTCCTGTAAACCCTTCCCCTTTTCCCCTGAAATTCCCTCCCCTCTCCCTTCTGGGCACTGTCAGCTTGTTCTCTATTTCAGTGTCTTTGGTTATATTTTGCTTGTTTGTTTGTTTTGTTGTTTAGGTTCTTGTTAAAGGTGAGATCATATGGTATTTGTCTTTTACTGCCTGGCTTATTTCACTTAGCATAATGCTTTCCAGTTGCATCCATGCTGTTGCAAAGGGTAGGAGCTTCCTTCATTCTCTATATATATATACTCACAAGATTAAAAAAAATAAAATTTATGGGGTATAACCAAAGCAATATTTAGAGGAAAATTCATAGTTTTAAATGCTTCTATTAGAAAGGAAGACCTCAAATCAATGATCTCAGCTTAAATCTTAAGGTAGAAAAATAGTAAATTAGATACAAAGTAGGTAGAAAGAAGGAAATAATAAAGAGCAGAAATCAATAAACAGAAAATGGATAAAACAGGGAAAATCTAAGTCAAAACCTGGTTCTTTGAAAAAATTTTAAAAA